GGAGCCAGGGAGTGTTCCTAGGGCAGCCACATATAAGTTCTGCCCTGAAAGCCTGGGCAGTGCCAATTTCATGCTCTAAAATTCTCCTGGCTTCTTCGTGATGCTGGTGTGATCAATGGAACCTATAGTAAACATGAAAAATGTCAACCACTCTAGCCTGCCGTTTTTTTTAATTCAAGATTTTGAAACTCAAATGCAGTTTTGCAAAGGGGGGTTAAATGGGGAGAGAGGTGGGGCTGGAGTGGATTTGTCCCTGACTCAGCCATCAGGCAAAGCAGAGTGGTGGTGAAGTTGTCTCCCTGTGACTGCAGCCAGGCTCCCGGGCTTAACAACCTGCTCTCAAGGTTAAGGGCCATGTCGAGGTGGCAGGCCAGCCATTTTTACTCACTAGCACATATGACCCTTCCCAATGATAGCATCTTGTCTTAAAAGCAGGTTCAGGCTTAAGGAATGTACTTCTTGGGAGATAATGCTTGAGCGTGAAAAATCCCAGAGAGCCAAGAGGTACAGTGCTGTCCCCCTTGAAACCTTTCCAAGCTCAGCACTAGGGAAATGGCAGACAAATCAAACCAGACTTGGTGTAGAAGGCTGCAGGCAGTTCCAAGGACACCGCAAGAAATCACCTAAGATAATGTTGCATTTGTGTGTATCAAATGTGCATTTGAAACCCACTTTCATCTCTTCTGGACATTGCCCTTGATGATAAACAGCTGCAGACTTGGATTATCTACAAGGACAGACGTACATTATTTGAAGGTTTGATGATACCAGCACATCTTAACGTAATCAAATCAGAGTTTATAAATATGTCTAGGCAGAATGGAGGGGGAAGCCATTACTCTCACACCTCGGGGCTACAGAGGTCCCCCCTAGAGGGAGACCCATTTCTAGCTGTCACCCGAAGTAAAAGCGGGGGTGATTTCCTGGAAGCTGCAGCATCAGAGCAGTAAACCCTGCCGAGAAACGCCCACAAACCAGACTGATTTCCCTCCTATCTGGGCATTGACTCCATCAAAACATTCTGTCCAGCTTGGTGGACCCCCTTAAATATTTTATTTCAATCACCCTGGAAACGTTAAAAAAAAGCCCAGCGAGAAAAAAAGCAAGGCTTAGTCGTGACTCGTAGGATCATCAACTCTCCCTGACTGCTGGGGCAGAAGTGCATGGTCCCTGACCCCTCCATCGCACACCTGCCACATTCCATGTGAACAAGTCAAAACCTCAAGCCTGCTTGATTAATCACCCAGCCCAAGAATCTACAGAACAAAGTTCACATTACCCAGAGAGCTGTCTGAAGGGCCCTCTGAGGTCAGGATGCAAGACCAAACAAAATTAATGTGCCTGCCACATCCATCATCTTGTAATCTGCTTCCAGTTCTGTAATCCCCGAACGTCTGGACTGTGCATACCAAGAACATTCCTGTCCAACGTGGATCAAAACGATTCATGTACAAAGGGCTCCGAACCCTCCCCACCTCTAAGAAAATCATTAACCATTTCTACAAGTCAAACAGCCCTGGGACTGCAGTCATCTGCTCAAACAAGTCTCTAGGGACCTGGAAGTTTTCATGATTCTATCATAAATGTTTCTTCAGACATCATGAAAATGAAATTTGATTTGACCTAAGAATAAGGAATACATTGTTAACTTCCTGGTGACGTACTAATTCATTTAGATTATGTAAAGGATACAACAGCTCTCATTGCACAAAAGTGGTTCACAATTAGTTCAAGGGAACTGATGTTCCCCCAGAATGAACTGGTTGGATTAGATGCACCTAAAATTATAAGATACATATTGTATTTTATGTTATCGTGAGATTACTTTTCACTATGACCTCAGAACATGTAATAAATATTTCAAGGGAAGTATTCCTACACATTTCACTCAGGAAGAAAGGAGATTCAGAGACATTCATTGTGTGAGAGACCTGAGGTCACACAGCTCTTGTTTGGGCTGGGCTGAGAGAAGCCCACATCACCCTGTGTTTTCCTCTCATAATTGATATTATTTTTAAGATTTTTATGCTATAAACCTCCCAGTTCTCTGAAATCTATTACATAAAGATTTCACCACAAGGTTATTTTATGCTCCCAGCCCCCTAATGCCCTCCAATACTTCACCACAAAGATTCACATCACAGATCATGTGAATATTATTACTGGATTTCTTCATTCCAAAGCACACATTCCTAGATTCCTGATGGAACAGGAAGTTGGACAACCAGGATATTTTATGTTTTGGTCATTTACACTCCTGTTGTCTGAGGAGAAAAATTTTAGGTATAATTTCCATATAGAGAAGCCTATACGGTTTAGGAATAAGGATGACAAAGAATGGGGACAGTGTTCTCACCTTTTAGAAATTTAGATATTAAGACTCTGTTCTGGGGGCTAATAGTGTCCATTGATTGTGCAAGAGTAACATCAAAATACACATTAATTTTAGGACCATTAGGAGTGATTCTTAAATAAACATAAAGGGACAATATCACTGAGGTGTGAAGACCAGTAGAATTTGAAGTGGCAAGACTTTGATTCATCCAACAATAACCAAATGAGTATTAGGTGCCACAAAAACTTCCACATATATTATTTCATTTCATCTTTGCACCTGCCGTCTGGGGTTTTCTGTGCCCATTACTGACAGTGAAGCTGGGGATCAGTGAAGGGCCTTGTAGAAATCACAGACGCAGTCATGTGACAAGGCTGAGCTCTGAAGCCACATGCATCTTATTCCAGCCGTCCCAAAACAGACCACTAATACTGGAATCTGAATCTGAACAATGTCAGCATTCCCCTCCCCCTCCTTAAAAGTTAATGTTTTAAGCTCTTGGTATCATTCTTGCCACGTGAAAATGTGAAAGTATTCCAAAATTTAAAAAAAGTGGATCTGCTATTACTCATTGCCTTTAGCAGGAAAACAGGAAATGGTTTTTACTAAAGGTTACGGAGGTGATGGGACAGGGAGGGGCTGAGGCATGGGAGGCAAAGGCCTGATGCCACTGTGAGAGGTTTCAGGGGAAGCAGGGGAGGTGCTGTGTGGTAATGACCCAGACATCAATACGAACACTGGCCCCTTTGGTCAACGCACCCTGATTCAATACAAGCTCTGTGCTAGGTACTGACAACGTGAGGTCCCTAAGGTAAGGGGCCTGCCCTCCGGGACTCAGTCTGGAAGGGAACACAGGACTTGGAAAAAGCAATACAATACCACATGCTGACAGCCACGCTGTGGGCTTCCACAGGGCGCTGTGTGAGCACCGGGGACTGGCCCCCTGCGAGGGGTAGGGGACATGTCCTAGAGGAAGTGACATTTCTTTTGGGGTCTCAAAGTATGAGGAGGAGTTTTCCCGGCAGAGACAAAGGGAAGGGCTCTCCAGGCAGAGCATATTTCCAAAGGCATGGAGATCGGAGAGATCACGGTGTGTCCTGGAAATGGAAGACGGTTCTCCGTGGCTGCAGCCCGGGATGCACTGTGTCCCTGGTGAGGGCAACGAAGAAATGATGCTGGAGAGGTGGGTGGGAAGCCCGATTCTGGGTCTGCCTTCTGTACACTGTGGGGAGCCAGAGGTTTTTAGGGAAGAGAGTGACAAGATCTATGTGATGATCACGTGGCGGGGGCTTTGTGGAAGACGGACTGGAGAGAGTCAGCCAGGTGGCAGCAAGGCCGGCTGTTATGAACTCTACTTGGAAGGACCCTTGCAGCTCTGAGGTCCTCTGGTCTAGCTCTCTACTTTATAAGGGACAGACCAATGTCTGGAAAGGTTAAGAGACTTGTAACAAAGCTACCCAGCTGGTGACTAAGGATGGGGGCAGGATGAGGTCCTGCCGGCTGCTGCCAGTCCCTTCTCCCTGCCTGGATGGCCAAAGAAAGTGAAAGGCTCTAACATCTGGGCCCCCGGAGGGGCTTCAAGTTTATCTGCTTGAAAATAGCAACAGATAGGCTGGAAAATAACTGTAGTCAAAGAGTGAAGAAACGTTTTTACCTTGGCTTTGGATTCCTGTTGTCTTATGGACCAGGTAAGTACCAAAAGCAACACAGCTTAGCTACCGAGTAAAACCAACACAACACAGTCAAGGGAATTGAGGGACGTGCACGAGTTCTTGCTAAATCAACCAAAGTCATCAAATCCTGACTGTTCCCACATGCTGGAATTCAGAGACATGAGCGAAGTCCTTTTGGAGTAGGCTGGATCAGTTCTTTCCTAAGAGCAGACGGTCACTATCTTAGCCTTGTCGTCTAAAAAGAAAGCCAGTTGGCAAGAAAACAGTTCATCCACAGAACTACTATTCACAGCTAGTGCCGAAAGATGCCCACTGCAAAGCAATCCTGTATGATCATCACCGTTGCAGAGCAGAATGTGAGGGCAGGGAATATACTCTGTTTTTCAGAAAGCTCAAATTTTCGAAGAAGCAAAAATTCTCAAGATCTGAAAAACCAAACAGCCCTCCTAGAGTCCTCTCATAATTTCACTCCCAAGAGGGAGATCTAACATGGAGAATTTATTTTCAGGGTAGACACAGATTTTCTGATACCTGCATTTCTCCCAAAGGGCCCCTGAGACTTCATATTGGAGCAGGAAGTCCTGGTGTGTCATCAGACTCTGGGGGCTGCTCACATGAGATTCAGACTCGTCTGAGCCCCTGTGGTTGAGTTAAAGTGAGTGGCAGGCCTGGGGAAAACGTATCAGCATTCTTTACCACCACATTTCATATTGTACATACCAAGCCATTAAAGGAAACAGAGCATGCCATGTCTTTGATCGGTCACAGATGGGAGAAAACCAGCCACAATAATAAATTCACGGAGGTGGAGTGTGTCGTCACACACGGAGCCAGGATGTGTGATCCAGGAGGCGTGTATGGGGGGTGTTAACGCCATATGTCGTTTTACTGCTGTGGGCCTGCTCCCAGGTCAATAGCAACATGTTCCTCCAAAACAGCTCCGACGCCATCCCTGACGCTGCGGCGCTCTGCCAGACCTACGTGACTCTTACCAGGTACTGAAGTCGCTGGCGCTCAGTCTCAGGGGTGAATTCCGAAGACATGGGGATGATTTCTCCATTTCTGATGATTATGGCCCTGAAATGGTGAAAATGCATGTCAGCAGCCAATCTCATAAGTACCTCGATTCTGTCCTAACTCCATAGCTTAGTTCAGAATACACCTGAAACTCTCAGAGGATACTTTTCCCTCTGACCTGCACAGCAAAGCTCAGTGTTACCAACTCACCACATTGTAAGTATCTTTAAGAGCATGACATTCTCGTTAGCTCATGAATCTGTGCAGTCCAATATGGCAGCAACCAGCCCCATGTGGGTACTGAGCATTTGAATCATGGTGAGTGCAAGCTGAGAAACTGAATTTTTGATTTTATTTAATTTTAATTCATTTAGCTTGAAGTTAAGCAGTCACAGCGGGCTAGTGTAGTAGATAGACAGTGCAGCTCCAGATCTCCGTTACTCAAAGTGTCTGTGAGCCAGCAGCTTGTTAGAAATGCAGACTCTCGGGTTCCACCGCAGACTTCCTGTATTGGAATCTGCATTGTCGTAAGATGCCCAGGGAATTCAAAGGCACGTTAAAATCTAAGAACGCCGGACCTAGGCTCCTGAGTTTCTAGGGTAATATCCTGGGTCCAGGAAAACCACTCTTATCTCATCTTAAAGCTCAGGAAATTCACATACTCTCCAAAGTGTGCCCAACAGCTACTGCCGATTCTGGGACTTTTGAGAGAACAGAGTTCCCCAAAGCAGACGTCTAAAAGAGGAGTTGCCGGATTGATAACTGTGCAGCAACCTTCCCTAAGCCTGTTCTCGGTGGAGCCTCCTGTGCTCAGACCTTGTTCCACAGTGGTCCCTGCAGCCGCCTGCCAGCTATCGATCAGTTGTGGCGGAAGGCTGCCATTTCTACGACAAATCCAAGTGGCTAGGGGAGCTGCATTCTATTCGAACCACAAAGCTCCTGGTATCAGGGAGCCAGAGACCTGGGGACCCAGCACACTTCTCTGTGAAGAGCCACAAGCACGGGGAATACCATCAATGAGCTCAGCTCTGGGTGGATGCCTCACTGACATGGGGAGGCTGCATTTTTTGTGCCAAGAAGCCCCGGGCACCCCTCCCTCCCCGCAGAGGCAGGCAGTCCCTGACTTGGCAACAATCCCTATAAATGGCTGCAGCTGCTCGACCCCCTCCCCTGCTAACCCCTCACCACCCATGCCCAGTTGCTGCTGTCATAGAAACTAGGGGAGGGGGGCAGGCAAGGGAGGAGATGACAATAAAAATCTTGGGGGCATTAGAGAATTTATGGATCTAGGAGAAAAATGGTGGAACTGTAAGAAAACGGGAAAGTTTTGCGGGGGCTGACCCTGGGAAGAGGGTAGCTCTTGCTGTAATACTCGTATCACTTCTTTTATTATGCCGCCAAAAATAGGACAGATTAAAGATTCCTTCTTATAAACCCAGAGTCACTTGTAAAATGCAACCCACCTCCCCCAACCCCAAGAAAGGTGATATCCACCATTCACAAATCAGTGTGAGTTAATGGAAATCGTCTTTGTCCTACTTATCAGCTGAGAATAACTGTAGTAAGAGTACGGGTTTTGATAGAGGCTGGAGAAACTTGGAGAACTTGAAAGGAGGGGTCAGGAAGGTCAAGGTTAGGGCCTAATCTTAAAGTAGCGGGAGGGGCCCAGAGAATGTGGGGCACTAGAGCAAAAGGCATTATGCAGTAAATTCCCACAGCAATCTTCTGTTTCAAAATTTTGCTAAAAGCTAGTCTTAATTCTTTTCCCTCCCTTTTCCTACATTGCCCCTGAATTCCAGCTTCCAGGCTCAGACTAAGAAAGGTGGGTATCCAGGAGGGAAGTAAAAGATCGCGGTAAGAGGAGGAAGGAAGGGACGGTGGAAGATGGGGTGTCAGGCAGCGTGGGCCCGTGGGGAGCGGCCAACCAGACCAGGCAAGAGCCTCCTCCAGGACCTAAGTGTCAGGAGGTCAGGGGCCTGGTCTGTTTTGTTCACTCTCATATTCCAGATGCTTGGTATCTTGCCTGCCACCTAGCAGGAGCCCCATGAATATTAATTGAATATAAGAACAGATGAGGGCTTCCCTGGTGGCGCAGTGGTTGGGAGTCCACCTGCCGATGCAGGGGACAAGGGTTCGTGCCCCGGTCCGGGAAGATCCCACATGCCGCGGGGCGGCTGGGCCCGTGAGCCATAGCCGCTGAGCCTGCGCTCCGCAACCAGAGAGGAGTAGCTTTGCCTTGAGTCTGAGAGGAAGAGAGCAGAACTAGGGAGGCAGCGGACGTTCGCTTACACAAGGAGAGTTGGGTGGTTGTCACAGAGCCGAGGGGGGCGTTCGCCTGGAATCGCACCTGCTCCCTCAGCCATCTTTTCCTCTTCTCCTGACCAGATGAGTCCATCCATCACTTCCAACCCCGGAGTCTTTCCTACATCAGTTATTCCCTCTGTATTCCCAACCTCTCTCTCTGCTGGCTTTGCTACCACACGCAAAACACTTTGTGTTTAAAATCAAACAAAACAGAAACCGAAACGAAAACCAAACAAACAATACTCTCCTAATCTGAAACCCACTTTCAGGGTCTTTTCCCCTTTCTTTCCCCCTAAACCAAGGTTTACACATTCATTACACATTAATGTACACATTAATCTACATTCAGGGGCTCTACTTCCTCACCTCCCACCGATGCCTCAAATACAGGTAAATTCATTTCTTGCCTTCTCTCTACCTGACTGCTCTCACCAGTCCCCAAATGGCCTCTTTGCTGCTACACCCCGTGACCATGACCTCATTCCCACCTTCCTAGGCAGCATTTGTTGGTCCCTCCCGACCCCAGCTTCTGGGGCACTGCTTCTCCTGGTCTCCCTCCGACCTCCCAGGACACTCTTCTCAGACTCCTTGGGGTTGTGGGCTGCCATTCCACCTCTCTACCCCCTCCCTGGGCACTCGCTTCCCAGCCCTGTAACCCCCAAGATTTGGTTTAGAGGCCTCTCCTACATGCTCTGTTAGCCTGGTGCTGCCAATACGGAACACAACCTGTTTTGTTACTCATTGCTTAGCTGTCCGCCTTCCGAGCTGGCCTGTAAGCTCCTAAGGCGAGAGCCATGTCCATCCTGCTCACGCTGAGGCCCCACTACTGTGCACAGAGCCAGGCAGTTACAAGCAGTACTGGCTACAGAATTTCTAGGGTCTGGGCCAAATAAAAATGCAGGCCCTCCTGTTCAAAAATTAATGAGGATTTCAAGACTGTGACAGCAGAACATTAAGGCAAATGTGGCGGCCCGCACAGGTCACAACCCCATGAAGCGGGCCCTGACTGTACGCCCTTAATGTTTACTGGATGAATCGATGGCTTCAACCATGACACATGCCGATGATTCCAAGTATCCTTTCCGGCCCACACGTCTCTGCTGTGCTCCAGCCTGGAACAGCCAACTGCCAACAAATATTCACTTGGATACTCACTGGCATCTCAGACTCGACGTGTTTCAGACTTAATGATCCTGCCCCACCACACCCCCAAATCTGTCCCTCCAGCAGTCCCTGTCTCAGGGAACAGCATCCCTTTCCACCGGGGGGTGGGGGTGGGGGTATTCCAGAAGCCATCTCACTTTTCTCCCTCTACACATCCAAACAGGCAGCAATCCTGTAGAGTTTATCCCCTCAGTAGCATGAGAATCTGTCCCTTTCCTTGGTTTCTTCTGTTAGTGCCTGGGTTCAGGCCACATCAGAGCTTGTCTGGCTGACTCAGGAGCTCTGCTCCCCAGGGTCACCAAGATGATTTAAAAGCATTACTTGCATCACGTCAGATCCCTTACTGCAAGCCCCTAGGTGCCTTCCCAGCATTTCCACTTTCCTTCATTATCTGGGTTTTGTCTATATTTCTGGTTTCAGTCTCACACTTGCTATTCCTTGCACTCTGCCTCTCCCTTCTTCTGGCCAACTGATTCCTCTCTGAGAGTCAGCCCAGGAGAATGCCCTCCTGGTCTACCTTCGATGCCCTTTCTCTGTGACCCCGTGGGGTCATGTGCCTGGTGTACCACAGCCCTTACCAGTCTCACTGAGATGGCTGGCCTCTGTGGCTGTCTCTAACTACCTGAGGATGTCTTCTGGGCAGAGCCTAAGCCCTGGTTTCTGAATCTCCAGCACTCAGTGTGTGGCCTGTGACAGACACGCAATAACTGTTTGCTGAGGGATAAGCGACTACATGGATGAAGAGTGAACTGGACTTGGGTGGATGAACAGACATGTCCAGAAGCGAAGGTCCCAAATAAGACTTTTCTTAACAACATGATCTGTAGCTGTCTGTCTACCGCCTGAGCCCTCAAAAACCCACATGCCTTTTCATTGGTTTTACAAAAAGACAAGGGACCTAAAAGGATGTTGTTCTGGCTGAATCAACACTGAAAAGTGACTCAAACGATAAGGGAAAACTAGGCAGGGCCCCTGTCCTTAGTGGGCAGGGGAGGGGGAATGCAGCCACCACTATGTTTACTCTGTTTTTTCATTTCAAATTCGTACACGATGAGGTATCAGCATTCAACTCCAATGTTCACTGCTGGGGTAACCCTACCTAATTACTTTCATAAATAGATCCTTATATCTAAATCCACTTATGTACAGAACATTCTTCACTTCTGTTTGAACTACCGAGTTTTTCCTTTATGAGACACCCATGCATTAAAGAATGACAGCAAGTCTGGCAGCCAAACTTTCCAGTCCCTGCATCATGATGCCTCTTCCTATGCGATTCCCGGCTTCCTTTTGATCTTTCTCTCTTTCTCTCTTTCATCCCTCTGATCTAGGGATCAATTTGTCAGAGCTGGTCTCCAATCTGGAGTAGGGCAGTGAGAGGAAGAGGTTTCAAAGGGAACAGAGTGCATGTGAAGGCTGACAAATCCTGTACTAAACAACCAGTAAAGTAGAGAAATGCTTTTAAAGCTACATTCTCTCATCACAGGATCCTTATAGACTTCATATCTTCTACTTCATTATTTTATGAAATGTTTTTACTAAACGAGGATAAAAAAGCTATATAGCAGCGAAAGTCAAGGAGAGTTAGGCAC